CGAGTCGATTCCTAGGGGAGCATCTGTTCCCCAAGAGACCCACGAGAACATACAGATTCTTATGCACACCCATGCCAGTGACAGGGAAATGTGGCCACATTGCTAGACTTTTTCTGATCAAAATGTACCCTCATCAGTCCACCTTGCTATCGCTTTTTTTGGGCTAAAATCTCACAGCGTTTGTTCATCACATTGTTGCAATTATAGATGTATATAAATTACTTGGACTCGTAATCCCATGCCTTATTTGTTAAACTGTATTTTTCTCTCTCCACAAAATTGGGCGGATAATCTTTTCTAGAAGGGATTTTACCGAAAAACTGACAATAACTTTTATTTTATTTTATTTATTTAATTATTTTTTGAGACGGAGTTTCGCTCTCCTTACCCAGGCTGGAGTGCAATGGCGCGATCTCGGCTCACCGCAACCTCCGCCTCCTGGGTTCTGGCAGTTCTCCTGCCTCAGCCTCCCGAGTAGCTGGGATGACAGGCGCGTGCCACCATGCCCAGCTAATGTTTTTGTATTTGTAGTAGAGACGGGGTTTCACCGTGTTGACCGGGACGGTCTCGATCTCTCGACCTCGTGATCCACCCGCCTCGGCCTCCGAAAGTGCTGGGATGACAGGCTTGAGCCACCGCGCCCGGCGGTAGGGGCTTTTTAAACATTAGCTGTGATGATCTCCTTCCAAATCTTCCTTTCGAGAGCCACAGATGAGGCCACAGTGCTGCCTGGTGACCCTGGAGTGTAAGTGCACACGATCGCCCATAGGCTCTCTCTCCACCACAGGTCCCAGACTGGCTAGTTACGGCCTGGAGGTTTCCGCTGCATCTGCCCTCTCAGGGCTCACGTAAAGACTTTTGTATTTTCCTCCTCGCATTCCTGCAGATGGGATTCAGGTTGCCTGGCAAAGGTGGGTGATCGCCAAGGCACGTCCTGGCCCCGCTGGCTGGGGAGCTGCAGGGGTCTGGTCCCCCGGGTAGAGGCGGTGGGAACACGAGGCTCCCACCGTGCCACGGCTGCCACGCTGTGCCCTGCTCACTCTTCCCCACAACTACCGCAGTTGTGAGAGGTGACCCTAGAGCACGGAACCCTGCTGCCTCCACAGCAAAGCTCGCCTAGGCACGTGTAAGGCTCCAAGTCTTCCCTAGGGTCCCCTCTGAGTACCTCAGCACCCCGTTTCCGATACCCTGTGCTGCTTTAGCCCCAACCCTAGGGCCTCACTCCAGACCATTCCCTCCTTGCTGTCCTGAATGGCGATGACCCTGACCTCCATGGGGCCCCGGGGAGCACACACACGCGCACACATCCCCAGGGGAAGCCGGTCTTTGCCCCCGCTGCACGAGAAATTCCCTGGAGACCCCGGAAGGTCGTGCCAGAGACTCCGGGGTCGCCTTCGGCCCTCTGGCCCTATCATCGAGTCCCAGGCAGATGTAAGCCACGGGAGACGCACAGGGTGCCTCGCCCGGGCAGAGCGGGGGCTCCGGTGCCTCCTCCCCGGAGTGATTTGCCCTCCTTCCTCCTTGTGGCTGGCTTAGGTGAAGCTGTGTCTGAAGTGAGGCATAAAGGACAGGGGACCTAGCGGGTGAGGAGAGCCCATCTTCCCGCTGCCCCGAGGGCCTGACCTGAGACCCTGAGAAGAAGGGGCTGGGGGAAGCCTCATCCTGAGCCGCACTAGGGTTAGGTACAGTGTGGACTTGGCCTCTCCACTCTTTACCCCCACCAAACACTCACACATCCCCAGGGCCAGAGCTGCCAGTGGGGACTGCTCCTGGTAGGGCAGCTTTGTCGCCACAGGGCCAAATGATGGGGCAAAGGCAGAGCTGGGGCAGGCCAGCGAGGTTCGTGACCCCCTCCCCACTCAGGCGAGCATACCTTCACTGCTTACTCTCCACCTGGATAGACATTCTGCTTACCTGGCCAGCACCGAGTTCATCCAGCCTCCGGGGGCCCCGCCTTCCTCCAACGCCAATGGTGGGAAGCGACAATTACAAAGCAACGATTCCAAGAAGATACATTCAGTCATCTTCTCGCCTGACCATTATGTGGTCACATCCCATAGGAAACCAGACAGTTGTGCCTGAAGCTGATACACACAACCCCCCCTCACCTCCTCCAACCCCCACCCTCATCTGTGTGGATGTGTGCAGGCGGGCAAGCTGCATGCTGTTCCTTCCTCAGCCTACCTTGAGATCTTACCTCGGGCAGGCTCTGGGCCGGTCACTGGAAATTAGACCCCATCCCAGCACCTGGGAGTGAGTGCCTGACGTTCCCAGTCCACAGGATGAATGGTACAGGCCTAGGGCCAGAACAGTGGCTCCCCCATCAGTAATCCCCACGCTTTGGAAGTTGAAGTGGGCGGCTCACTCGAGTCCAGCAGTTCAAGTGTGCAGTGAGCTATGATCATGCCGCTTGCACTCAAGTGTGCAGTGAGCTACGATCATGCCGCTTGCACTCCAGCTTTGGTGACAGAACAAGATCCTGTCTCTTTAAAAAATGAAATAAACTAGGCCGGGTGCGGTGGCTCACGCCTGTAATCTCAGCACTCTGGGAGGCCAAAGCGGGTGGATCACGAGGTCAAGAGATCGAGACCATCCTGGTCAACGTGGTGAAACCCCGTCTCTACTAAAAAGACAAAACATTAGCTGGGCCTGGTGGCGCGTGCCTGTCATCCCAGCTACTCGGGAGGCTGAGGCAGGAGAATTGCCTGAACCCAGGAGGCGGAGGTCGCGGTGAGCCGAGATCGCGCCATTGCACTCCAGCCTGGGTAACGAGAGCGAAACTCCGTCTCCAAAAAAAAAAAAAAAGAAAGAATTGTAAGCCCCAGTTTTGTCTCCTGGAAAATAAAGATTATAATTCCTGCTTTGCTATGTCAATTAGGTGGTCCACTACATGCAAAAACTAGTACATAAGAGGGGCTGAATAAATACTACTTTCTGTAGCCCATTCTTAATCACGACTCAATTGTAAAAAGTTTAGAATAACAAATGCTTTTGCCAAAATTATTTGTAATTATTTTATAAAATCCAAGTCCTATAGAAAAGTACAAAGAGGCCGGGCACGGTGGTTCAATCCTGTAATTCCAGCACTTTGGAAGGCCGAGGCGGGCAGGTTACTCGACGTCAGGAATTCGAGACCAAAGTGAGCAACGCGGCAAGATCCCATCTCTCTAAAAAATTAAAAACCAGTTATGGTAATGTGTACCTGTAGTCCTAACTACTTGGGAGGCTGAGGCAGGTGGATCACTAGAACCCAGGAGTTGAAGACTTCAGCCTGGGCAACAGAGTGAGACCCTGTCTGAGAGATGGAGAGAGAGATTTATTCAGAAAGTGATTAAGTCTGGGGCCTTCATCGAGAATCAATCCGTCAATAACCTAGACCCAGGTAGTTGGGGGTGTCCTTTCTCTTCTGAGGGTTGAATGACTAACACAGAAAGTATAAAGCGTAAAAACAGGCCGGGCGCGGTGGCTCAAGCCTGTAATCCCAGCACTTTGGGAGGCCGAGGCGGGTGGATCACGAGGTCGAGAGATCGAGACCATCCTGGTCAATGTGGTAAAACCCCGTCTCTCCTAAAAATGCAAAAAATCAGCTGGGCGTGGTGGCGCGTGCCTGTGATCCCAGCTACTCGGGAGGCTGAGGCAGGAGACTTGCCTGAACCCGGGAGGCGGAGGTTGCAGTGAGCCGAGATCGCGCCATTGCACTCCGGCCTGGGTAACGAGAGCGAAACTCCGTCTCAAAAAAAAAAAAAAAAAAAAAAAACATAGTGCCAGGTGTGGTGGCTTATGCCTGTGACCCCAGGACTTTAAGGAGGCCAAGGTGGGTAGATCACAAGGTCAGGAGTTTGAGGCCAGCCTGGCCAATATGGGGAAACCCTGTCTCTAGTAAAAACACAACAATTAGCTGGGTGTGGTGGCACATGCCTGGGATCCCCTGCTCAGGAGGCTGAGGCAGGAGAATCGCTTGAACCCAGGAGGTGGAGGTTGAAGTGAGCCAAGATCATGCCACTGCACTCCAGCCTAGGCAAAAGAGCAAGACTCTGTCGCAAAAAACAAACAACAAAGAAACAGTATCTTCCACATTTAATGTTTAACTCAGGAAACAAAGCAGGGAAGGTTCAAAAAATGAATGAGGGGCCACGGCCTCCACGTGCTCCACTGCCGCTGGCTTCTCGCTCGGGAACTCCAGTCTCCCTTCGGCCCACAATGGACCGCGAGCGCTCCTGCGCCGCCGCCGGTGGCTCCTGCAAGTGCAGAGTGCAAACGCACCTCCTGCAAGAAGGGCTGCCGCTCCTGCCGCCTCAGGGGCCGCGCCGAGTGTGCCAACGGGTGCGTGTGCAGAAGTGCGGCTGCCGTGCCTGACGTCAGGACAGCCCTGCTCCCAGACGCGAAGAGAGTGGCAGCTAAAATCCAGGATGATTTTTTATACAATCCTAACCCCCTGGCTACTTTCCTTCCTCTGGGAAACACGTGAATGATAATTAAACACTGGCATGGGGAAAAAAATGAATCCGAGAGTAAGAATAGGAATAAAGAAAGAAACTGAAATCCCAGTGATGAGTATTTTCATAACCTGTTCAAACCTAAGCATGTAGTCAATGTTGTCATCACTGTGATTGGGGATTTGCTTTCTACCGTCTTAAGCTATTTAAAACACTAAGAAGGCGGCCAGGCGCGGTAGCTCAAGCCTGTCATCCCAGCACTTTGGGAGGCCGAGGCGGGTGGATCACGAGGTCAAGAGATCGAGACCATCCTGGTCAACATGGTGAAACCCCGTCTCTACTAAAAATACAAAAAAAATTAGCTGGGCGTGGTGGCGCGTGCCTGTAATCCCAGCTACTCAGGAGGCTGAGGCAGGAGAATTGCCTGAACCCAGGAGGCGGAGGTTGCGGTGAGCCGAGATCGCGCCATTGCACTCCAGCCTGGGTAACAAGAGCGAAACTCCGTCGGGAAAAAAAAAAAAGAAAGACAGAAGAAAGTAAGAAGGAAAACAAAGGAAAAGAAAGGTGCTCGCTTCGGCAGCACATAATACTAAAATTGGAACGATACAGAGAAGATTAGCATTTGAACAATGAGAACACATGGACACAGGGAGGGGAGCACTACACACTGGGGTCCGTTGGGGAGAAATGGGGGAGCAACGGGGCGGTGGGGAGGTGGGAAGAGATAGCATGGGGAGAAATGACAGATACAGGTGAGGGGACGGAAGGCAGCAAACCACACTGCCATGTGTGGACCTATGCAACAATCTTGCATGTTCATCACATGTACCCCCAAACCTAAAATACAATAAAGAAAGAAAGAAAGAAAAAGAAAGCAAAAGAAGAAAGTGAAAGAAATAAAGAAATTATATTGCTCTGAACAATAATAATTAACATATTTTACTATTGAGTGGTAGGTTCAAACTACTCATGATATCAAAGTTTACTTACCTACATCACTAAATAAGCAAGCTGTATGTAATAAAAATATATGTATATTTTTCCTGAAATTATAATATATGAAGAAATATTTATTTCTCTTGCCTGATTTGTTAAATTTTCTTAGAAAAACACATGTACTACCAGTATATTTGGTTGAAAAATCAAAATTGTGTACGTTTGTAGGGTGCAGCATAATGTTTTGATATATATGTAAAATACGGAATAATTAAGTCAAGTTAACTAACATATCTATCACCTTACTTACCTATGATTTTTTTGCAGTGAGACATTAAACTTACTGTTAGTTGTTTTGAAATGTACAATACATTATCATTGACGGTAGTCACCCTCCTGTGCAATAGATCTCAAAACGTATTTATCCTGTCTGTAAAACTTTGCATTCTTTTATCAACAACAGTCTTTGGTAACCAATTATTCCACATTGTACTTTGTTATTTCAACTTTCTTAGATTCTACATAAAAGTGGAATCATGCAGTAGTTTTCTTTGTGTATCTGGCTTATTTTACTTAGTAAAGTATCCTCTAAATTTATCCATATATTTTTTTTTGAGGTGGAGTTTCGCTCTTGTTACCCAGGCTGGAGTGCAATGGCGCGATCTCGGCTCACCGCAACCTCCGCCTCCTGGGTTCAGGCAATTCTCCTGCCTCAGCCTCCTGAGTAGCTGGGATTACAGGCATGCGCCACCATGCCCAGATGATTTTTTGTATTTTTAGTAGAGACAGGGTTTCACCATGTTGACCAGGATGGTCTCGATCTCTCGACCTCGTGATCCACCTGTCTCGGCCTCCCAAAGTGCTGGGATTACAGGCTTGAGCCACCGCGCCCGGCCAGCGACCTCAGTCTTAATGTTTGCATACTACTCCATTTTGTACTGTGTTGTGTGAGTTTAGTGTCTGAAACTGTGGGAGGAGTGAACCCTTACATAGTCCTGAAATTTGAGGTTTGGAGGCCCAAGTTTGCACCATTTAGCTGCTTTGAGTCTGAAGGCTTGTTTTTGTTAGGTAACAAATCGGAAATACCCCAAACTGAAAGAAGTGGATGATGTGCTCGGTGGAGCAGCTGCCTGGGAGAATGTTGACTCTACTGCAGGTAAGAGGGAAAACTATTTCTGTTACTAAACTGCGGATAATTATGAGGCTGTTGATGCCACTGCATGGCAGAGTCTATAATGTCATATAAATGCTGTAGCCTTCTAAAAATAGAAAATCTTTTTTTGAGTAATTTGTCATTTGTGTTTGTTACTACTTAGTAATTTGTTAAGCAATATTTGTGCACGCCTTGGCGTCACACAGGCCTGGGTTAGATTCTCAAGGGAACTGCTTATTGTTTTAGGACCTTCCTTGGGTCTCCTGACCTCTCTGGGGCTAATCCATATTCACAGATTGTGAGAACATAAAGTGAGTTATACTGTGCTTAGTACAGAAGAACCACTCAACAGGTGGCTTTTATAATGACAATGATGAGTAGATTAATAAAACTCAGAGTCTAAGAAAAAAATTATGTTCTTTCTGTTTGATATGGTTTGGCTGTGTCCCCACCCAAATCTCATCTTGAATTGGAGTTCCCATAATCCCCAGGTGTCCTGGAAGGGTCCCGTGGGAGGTCATTGAATCAAGGGAGTGGTTTCCTCTATGCTGTTCTTTTTTTTTTTTTTTTTTTTTTGAGAAGGAGTTTCGCTCTTGTTACCCAGGCTGGAGTGCAATGGCGCGATCTCAGCTCACCGCAACCTCCGCCTCCCGGGTTCAGGCGATTCTCCTGCCTCAGCCTCCCGAGTAGCTGGGATTACAGGCACGCGCCACCATGCCCAGATGATTTTTTGTATTTTTAGTAGAGACGGGGTTTCACCATGTTGACCAGGATGGTCTCGATCTCTTGACCTCGTGATCCACCCGCCTCGGCCTCCCAAAGTGCTGGGATTACAGGCTTGAGCCACTGCGCCTGGCTCCTCTATGCTATTCTAATAATGAGTGAGTCCTCACAAGATCTGATGGGTTTTTTTTGTTTTTTTTGAGACGGAGTTTCGCTCTTGTTGCCCAGGCTGGAGTGCAATGGCGCGATCTTGGCTCACTGCAACCTCTGCCTCTGGGTTCAGGCAATTCTCCTGCCTCAGCCTCCTGAGTAGCTGGGATTACAGGCACATGCCACCACACCCAGCTAATTTTCAGTATTTTTAGTAGAGACGGGGTTTCACCATGTTGACCAGGATGGTCTCGATCTCTTGACCTTGTGATCCACCTGCCTCGGCCTCCCAAAGTGCTGGGATTACAGGCTTGAGCCACCGCACCCGGCTTAGATCTGATGGTTTTATAAGTGACATTTCCCCTGCTTGCACTCATTCTGTCTCCTGCTGCTCTGTGAAGAGGTACCTTCCGCCATGATTGTAGGTTTCCTGAGGCAACCCCAGCCACACATAACTGTGAGTCAAGTAGACCTCTTTTCTTGGCTGGGCCCGGTGGCTCACACCTGTAATCCCAGCAGTTTGGGAGGCCGAGGTGAACAGATCACTTGAGGTCAGGAGTTCTAGAACAGCCTGGCCAACATGGCAAAACCATGTCTCTACTAAAAATACGAAAATTGGCCAGGCATAGTGGTGTACGATTGTAGACCCAGCTGCTCAGGAGGCTGAGGCATGAGAATCGCTTGAACCCAGTGACCCATGAGGCAGAGGTTGTAGTGAGCTGAGATCACGCCACGGCACTCCAGCCTCGGTGACAAGAGTGAGACTCTGTCTCAAAACAGACAAAGAAACAAAACTCATCTTTTCTTTTCTTTTTTTCAAGGTGCTGTTTAAAAAATTCCTCTTTTCTAAATAAATTACCCAGTCTCCGATATTCATACCAGTGTGAGAGTGGACTGATACACTGTTCTGATACAGATTTTCAGAAGTTAATACCAAGGAGCATTAAACTGCAGATTGAGTAAAATAAACGTTTACTTCATGTCTGATAGAGGTCGAAGTGACCAGGAAAGGAAAGGGAAAGGCTCTAAATGTAAGTTGTGTTGAGAGGGGAAAGAGACAACTGATGATCAGTGCTGTGTTTTTCCCCCCATAGAAGAACATACAAATCTGCTGTGTTAGCATTGGTAGAATTTGTCATTAAAAGATAAATTAGGCCAGGTGTGTTAGCTCAGGCCTATCATCCTTGGGAGGCTGAGGTGGACAGATCACTTGTGGTTAAGAGTTCGGGACCAACCCGGGCAACATGGCGAAACCCTGTATCTACTAAAAATACAAAAATTAGGCTGGGCATGGTGGCTCACACCTGTAATCCCTGCACTTTGGGAGGCCAAGGTGGGCCATCACCTGAGCTCAGGAGTTTGAGACCACTCTGGGCAACATGGGTGAAACCCGGTCTCTATTAAAATACAGAAAATTACGTGGACACGGTGGTGGACACCTGTCGTCCCAGCTGCTCAGGACGCTGAGGCAGGAGAATTGCTTGAGCCACAGAGGTGGAGGTTGCAGTGAGCTGAGATTGCACTACTGCACTCCAGCTTGGGCTACAGAGTGAGAGACTGTCTGGAAAAAGAAAAAGAAAAAAAATGAGCGGCTGGGTGAAGTGGCTCACCCCTATAATTTCAGCACTTTGGGATGCCAAGGCAGGTGGATCACCTGAAGTCAGGTGTTCAAGACCAGACTGACCAACATGCTGAAACCTTGTCTGTACAAAAGCAGCTGGTTATGGTGGTGCGTGCCTGTGATCCCAGCGACTTGGGAGGCTGAGGCAGGAGAATTGGTTGAACCTGGGAGGCAGAGGTTGTCGTGAGCTGAGATTGTGCCATTGCACTCCAGCCTGGGCCACAAGAACAAAACTCGTCTAAGAAAAGAAAAGAAAAGAAGCAAGCTGGGCTTTGTGGCACATGTCTGTACTCCTAGCTACTCAGGAGGCTGAGGCAGGAGAATCGCTTGAACCAGGAGGTGGAGGTTGCCATGACATGAGACCATGCGACTGCACCCCAGCATGAGTGAGACTATCTGGAAAGAAAAGATTCAGTACCTTATGTCAGAAAGTGTTTGAGAGCGTTTGAAGCCATTTCTATCAAGTGTAGAATAAGTTGCTCAAAATGAAGTCACTTTGAAGGGAAATCTGTGCCTTGGGGCACTTTTCAAAGATACAGGATGTGTGATAAGATGTTGCTAAAGAACAGCCTGAGGAACTGCTGCCCAAGTGGATCCTTGGATCAGTCACCCACGGGGAAGATGAAAGGTGTGTGTCCATTGCCCAGGGGAAGGTGATACACTTCTTAGGGGAATCTGCATGGTGTGTACTGCTGTAACAGGATACCGCATACTGGGTAATTTATAAAGAATATGAATTTATTGCCCGTGATTCCGGGGGTTAAGTCCAAGAACAAGTCACCAGCGGGTTTGGCATCTGGTGGGATCTGGCCAAGGAATGCTGCCCTGGAATACAGGGAGCCGAGAGCCAGGGGAGCTGTAGGAAGCCCTGAGGTTCCTCGAAACAACTCTGGGCCTGTGATGGGCATGGGAGCCCCTCATCCCACCCTAGGATCTCCAAAAATGCCTTGAAGGGGTCATCCTCCCATTGCTTGATGAACAGCATCTGGCTGCCTTCTGTCCATTCTCATCTCTGTATCACGTGGTCCCTTGACCATACCCGTGGTTTTTTCTCTCTCTCTCTCTCTTTTTTTTTCAGACAGGGT